CAGCGGGACTGGGGGAGGCCGGGGGTAGAGCAGCTCCAATTGTCCGGCTGGCCGGAGCACTTCCGGGGTCCAGTTGGTGTCAGTCTATCAGGAGTACCGGACCACTGGATGCCGGACAATTGGAGTTTTACTGTAATTTTCTTACCACATAACCTTTAGTAACTTTTGCTTTCACTTTAGTTTTAGTAAGAAAAAGTTTATCTGGTAAACAGTGCCAGCAGAAGAGATTTCTGTGCTTTTAATTATATCACTGTTGGTGGGTTTCTCTCCTTCCCACTTTCCTCCCCAGGAAAACACACCACCACTATTTTGTAACACATTCTGTTAAATTACTGATTCCTGTTTGTCCTCCAGGCAGCTTCAGATTTTGGGCTGCTGGTGTCATGGTTTTACGGTTTCTGCTGCACGATCTGTGCTTATTTGGAGCGTGTAAGCTGGGATGCAGCACTCTCTTCCTGCAGGGTGATGGCTTTTAAGATTTCTGATTATGTTTTTCACCTGACAGACTATACAAACTGTGATACAAGATTAAAGACTGTAGGCATCATTAGGAAATCTGGGACAAGGCACAAGCTTTGCTGGGCTGACCCACTTAATTTTTTCCCCTGTGTTCTCCAGTGTATTCTAGATGCTCTGGTACCCGCCCTAATCAAGCCTGAAGTCAATAATGCACTGAGTTAGCATGGCAGAGAACTCATTTGAACTACAGGCAGTCCCCGGGTTACATGGATCCGACTTACATCAGATCCCTACTTACAAACGGGGTGAGGCAACCCCGCACTAGCTGCACTAGCTGCTTCCCCCCAGCAGACCAGGGAGACGCGAAGCTAGCACCCCCTCCCCCCCCAGCAGACTAGGGAGACGCGGAGCGGATTTTCTTAGCAGACACCTCAGCTTGAGAATAAAGGACTGAGGGAAGTGAGGTGTGGGAGAATAAAACTGAGCTCTGGAGAAATGTTTGGCTAGAGTTTCCCCTACAATATGTACCAATTCCGACTTACATACAAATTCAACTTAAGAACAAACCTACAGTCCCTATCTTGTACGTAACCCGGGGACTGCCTGTACTGTATTATCAAGCTCAGTGCTATGGAAGGGAGCCTTGCACACATGGTGTGGTCTGTGGTGCAGAGGTAGGTGAGGGGTGGTCTTCCCTGGATAAGTAGGAGCATTTTGATTTTGCATAACTATAGGGGATAATTGGGCAGGTTCAGATGAAATGACACCAAACTGAACCAGACCCCTAAAAAGCATGGCCAACTTTCATATTAAATTTAATTGGTTAATGTCATGTTAGAAAAGCAACAGATCCATACGAGTCAAGAACATCAGGACATTCCCACAATTCCTGCTCAGCTGGAACCACAGGGTATACCTCGACTGCCATTAAGCACACAGCTGGCCTATGTCATTGACTCCAGCTTGCAGGGCTCAGGCTGCAGGGCCATAAAACTGTGGCACATGGGATCAGGGTTAGGCTGGAGCCCAAGTTCTTGGACCCTGCAAGGGGGATATAGTCCCAAAGCCCGGCTCCAGCACAAACCCGAACATCTACACCACCATTGTACAAGCCCAAGCCCCACAAATCAGCTGACACAGGCCAGCTGGTGTATGTAATTACTATGTAGAGATACCCACAGGGTGCTGATGAACTCATAAGTAAGTCTGTTCTAAAAAAAAAACCAAATGTTTTTGAAAAGTATCTGACCATTGGGATCTTTAATAAACCCAACATTTAGGTTCACTCAGTAGTGTGGTTCCAAGGCAAGTTCTAAATGACTTCTGGGAGGAGGCTTCCACCCCTTTCTTTGGGTCACTTCAAAAGCTTTCACTATCCACAGGTTTCTCAAGGATCATGGGACTGATCCTGTACCTGTGAAGTTGATAGAAAGTTCATTTTTTAAGCTTTTTCAGCTTACAAGGGTGTCTTTATGATTCTTTACATACACCACTGGCTTTTTTTTTCATTGTAGAAAAGGGAGGAACCACTGACTATAATGAAGAAAGAAAAATAAATACTGAAGTTCAACATTAGTCCATACCACGGCATAAAACAAGTTTTATCTGATCACTGTTTTAACATTACAAGAACCAAAGAAACAGGAGCAGACTGTAGGAAATGAGAAAAAGACAAGTAGGACAGAATGTAAAACAGAAGAAACACTATGGAAAGCTACGAAGTTGTCCCTAAAAAAGCAAGGGATTACATTTGGTTGGTTTTGTTTAATTTTGTTTGTTTTTCACAGAATTATGCACTGGACCCCACAGTTCTTAGCAGTCCCTATTATGGATTATGGGTCAGATTTTCAAAGTTTGTCACTTAATTTCATGCATACCTAAGTATGCCTCTCTTTCACACACAAATAAGGCCAGTTATGTGTCCAACAGATCTACGTGATCATTTGTATGCATGAACACCTCAGCATAGTGCTTATATTTAATTATTTTAAACAAGTGTTAAACAAAAATATAACCCAGGAGACTTATTTCACCCTAGAGCAATTTTTTTGGATATTCCACAGCACTCTCTTTGGGTACGTCTACACTACAGCGCTAGTTCGAACTAACTTAGTTCGAATTAGTTAATTCGAACTAAGCTAGTTCGAACTAACGCATCTAGAACTAAAAACTAGTTCGAACTAGCGTTTTGCTAGTTCGAACTAGTAAGTCCACATTGAGTGGACTCTGAACAGGGCTTAAGGATGGCCGGAAGCAGTGCCGGCAGGGCATAAAAGGAGGACTTAGAGCATGGAGATACTGTCTCAGGCTAGCCGAGGGCTGCGCTTAAAGGGTCCCGACCCCCACCCCGGACACACAGTTCTAAGGGGTGCCCCGCTTGCAAAGAAGTTCTGGCTTGGAGTGCCCTGAGTGCCCACACTGGGCACATCACACCACTCGGCCATCAGCCCGGCTGCACTTGCCGCAGGCTGCCATCTGGGGAGAGGGAGTAATTGGGGGGCTGCAGGAGAGCTTCCACCCCCAGAAGCCCGCAGAGCCAGCCCAGTCCTCCCCATCGGGGGCTCGTACCCCATTCCTCCCTCACCTCCTTCCACTTACCCTTCCCTAGCCCCCCTTCTTATTGATGTACAAAATAAAGATAACGTTTCTTCCAACATTGACTCTGTCTTTATTGAAAAAAACTGGGGGAGACTGGGAAAAGGAGGTGGGAGAGGGGAAGAGAAAGGCTGGGAGAGGGGAGGGCAACTAACATGATCAGGGGTTGGGAACAGGTCCCAGATGAAGAGAGGCTACAGAGACTGGGACTGTTCAGCTTAGAAAAGAGGAGACGGAGGGGGGACAGGATAGAGGTCTCTAAAAGCAGGGGTTGGGTGGAGAGGGTGCATTCAGAAAAGTTCTTCATGAGTTCCCATAAAGAAGGACTAG